GCCCGCGCCGCGGCCCGCGGGGGCGGCGGGAGGGCGCGAGGGGAAGGAGGGGGGAGGGAAATGGAAAGAATACGGAAAAATGAAATAAATAAAAGCGGAAAAGGCCGCGTTTAGCGGGCTTGCTTGGGGATGTTGGCGGGGATTTGCATCGTTTGAGGCTGCTCGCGTAATTTTGTGTTGTTTGGGTCTGCCTGGTGGTTGCGGCCCGTTGCTGAACCCAGCAGTGCTGCTGTTTAGTCACTTCGCTCTGCTCTGTCATCCCCCTTCACCTCCATCTCTGCGTATGGATTTTGTGTGTTTTCCTTTTTAATTCGAAAGCAAGCAGCAAAAAAGGGTGCAGAGAGGGCGCCCAGCCTTCCCCCACATCCCCATCCTGGTTGCAAGGGCTCTTGCTCACTGCTGCCGAGCCCTGTGGGTGCCCCACATCCCTGGGGGCACCCCAGGTCTCCAGCCGTCCCCTCCATGCATCCCACTAGTCGTCTGCGTGGCCACTGTCTCCAGCAGCAAGACTCATGCAGCTGGGGGGGTGTTGGAGGGCTGCTTCCCTTGGTGTTTCTCACATTAATTGGATGTCCTGTGGTCTTTTTTTTTAATATATTTTTAATTTTTTAGTTGTCCTCTCTCTTTGATGGGGCTTCCTGGTTTTCTCCGAACCTTTAATAATTTGCAGTTTGCTTTCCTGTCACCCTTAATGGTGACTCTCATCACTGGCCTTACTCCAATGTTTCTGAAAGTTTATGGCAAAAAAATGCCATTTTTACCCCGCCAGGATACAGCATGTTGCTGCTTCCCCGGGTTCCCTGGGCAGGCCGGGATGGCCGAGGGCTCCCAGCACAGCGAGCTAGCGGACAGGAGACGAAGCGGAGCGGCATCCGTGCTTGGCTGCGGGATTGCTGTGTAGCGGTCAAGCCGTGCAGCCCCCGGCCTTCCTCACGCTGGGCTCCGTTTCCTGCGTTTTAATTATAGGAGCTGTGGGGTCAGGGAGCACGCTGCAGCTCCAGGTTGGCTGGGATTGGGATCTTACGGAGCTCTAATCCTGCCATTGCTGTTAGTGTCGGGATCTGCTTTTCTTCTCAGCAAAGGTTAGCGGTGGGCGGCTCAAGGTTTTGTACCCAGTCCTGTGATATTTGACATATCTCTTAACCCGCAAGGCAGGGTGAGTTGCTATTTGCAGAGAGCGTGCTATTTATTTAAATGATTAATTATTTACATGTTATTTAGGTTGAAACTGGTCCAAGGAGGACTTTACAGAGAATTCAAGCCCAATAGATGGGAGCTACGTCGAGAAGTGAAATCTGCCAGCAGCGTTTGCTGTGAAACGCAACGGTAGGTAACACACACCTCGAAGGGCTGCAACCGGTACCGCCGACACCGACACCGCGGGGCTGGAGGAGGCACTTGGGATATAATCACAGCGAACTCGATGAGCGCTTCTGCTCACTGTGCTGCTCTGGCCAAGAAAGTTTCAAAAAGCAAACAAAAATAAACAGAATGAGAAGCCTTGTGGGTGGTTGCTGTGAGCAGCGCGAGTGCCAGGGACGATGAGGAGCCACTCTGGCTGCCCTGGGGCGGCCGGAGCTCCCAAACCGGCATGGGGAGAGGTGGGAGGGCTGGCTGAGATGAGGATGGCGGCGCGCTCCCAAGTGCACTGCGTTCCCACGAGATGTAGAAGGGAAGCTAGACGGCTGTGCCCTGTGACAAAAGCTTTTCGGAGTGCTCTGAAAGCCTTTACAGTGTCAGTTTATGGAGGCTGCTTATTTAACTCGTATAAAAAAACGCTCAATAAGAGGGTGTCGCGTGCAGATTCTTTTGGAGGGGCCTTAGCACCATGTGGCCACCACCGCTGTGCAGAGGCCGCCCCACACCACGGTCATGACTTGGGGGATTCCTGAGACGCATGTTGAAAGTGCCGCTTTTATTCAGTAGCGTCTGGAAAATCCCCAAACATGCACCAGGGTAAGAATGAGGTCCAACTCGGATACCGGGACACAATTAATCTGATTTGGCCCGTTTGCTTCCAGTTGTGAGAGGCCTCAGAGCAACCCTGGGGATCACTGGAGGAGGGAGCTGGGATACATTTTAAGGCTATGAGATTTTATCTTTTTTTTTTTTTCTTTTTTGGTAAGTATTTTTGAGTTTGTAATTGAATCCTTGACTTTACTGCAATTAATTTTCCCCCTTCATCCTGCCTGGTGCTCAGAGAGGTCCTGATTAGCCAAGGCAAGCAGAAGGCCCAGGGTATCTCCAGAAACAAAGTGCCCAAACCGAGCAGCTTGGGAGATTAAACACTCCTGAATGACAGATGTCAACTGGGGGGTGGAAAAGCTGCAAGGCAAGCAGAAAAGCTGTCTAGCAGCCTTGAGGAGCGGGTAGCCAAGAGCCGGGCTGCTCGTGCCCACGGAGCGGCTGGGGAGCGAGAGGGGCTGGGGAAATCCATCCCCGAGAGGGGGGGGGAAAAAAAAAAACACCA